TTTACAGCTTAAAATATATTTAAAAATTTTAATATTGCCTTGTTTTTACCAGTTTCAGTATTTCATTGCGCATAACCATTTTTATAATCATTGATTTTTTAATTGCATATATATTTTTATAATGCTTTTTTCTACTAATGTTAAATTTATTTTTATAGTTCTATGCTTTATGCACAGTCTAGTGATCATTTTTCCTTAGTCATGTATACAAACTGGTATGGTAAGTTTTACTTTTGCTCACAAAGCTTCATTTTAGTCTTTTCATTACCAATATACTGTACTCAAAATTCAGATAAAGTAAATTCTGAGAATTTCAGCACTGGGAATACTATTGGTAGTTTAATTTGTCAGATATTAAGAAAACTTATTTTCATCTTGTTAATTTAGCTAATGAATTGACACAAGTCACCAAAAATTGAACACCATATTGTGAAGTTATTTAATCATTTGCAGCCATTTGCTACACAAAATGAAACGTCATATTGGCCCTTCATATATCAGTGGACAGATATTGGCTGTGTGTGCCTTGGATGAAGAGGAAGCATTCAACAAAGAACTTGAGTGTAGCATGGTATGTGATTGTGGAATGCGAGTTTTGAAACGTAAGTATTGCTAATTATTGAATTATGCTGTGCATTATAAATTAGAAACTACAAGGAGAATGAGATCAATTAGATATACTCTATTAATATAGGAGTACTCTAAGGCTTTTGTGACACCATTAAATTCTTTGAAAAAGCTCTTATAGGAGATAGTTCGCTAGTAATAATCCAGTGGCATTTAAGTTTACCAAATAGAAGAGAATGGTAGAATAATGGAGTTATTCAATTTTGTAGAATGAATATTGTAGAGTATATGGAAGGAGTTTCAAAATGAATAGCCAATATAGTGACGTCAATGTACTTTATATTTGAGGTGAAATAGATATAAATGACTAGGTTGTATAACAGGAAATCTTAAATGAATAGATGGGAATGGAAAGTATTATGGAATAGTATAGAAAATGTATAATGGATATGAAGATTTTTGGGTGGTTACAAGTGCACAAAAATTTCTAGGGATGTATTTAAAGGCTTGTAGATTGAAAGGCATTGTTCCTTTTGAAGTGAAAAACTGTATGGGGAGGGAGTGTAGGGCAAGGATTCTTGCATTACTTAAATGAATGAGTATTTCATCCGTTTAGGTAGTGATGTACTCGGCCAAGGACAATGTAGGTTTTGTTTTTCCAGTTATATTTGGTTCAAGGAATTAGTTGTAGATTTTGTCCACGGTGTATTCAGCCAAGGATAATAGTGTTGAAATTTATTTACTATCTACATTGTAGGGGAGATAAAGAACTCTTCTGCTGTTCTACTCGAAAGTGGCTGAGGTTTGCAGTTTTACTCAGTCAAGGAAAATGACAGGTTTCTTTTGATGAGGGAGTTGATATACTACCCACATTTCAGTTCAGTGTGAGACTAGTTCCCTTCTACGAAGGAATTAGACTGTTCACTAAAAGACAGTGGCAGTTGTTTCATGGAGTTGATATCAACTGAGTCATGGAAATTGGCTCCTCTGTACTTACATAAAAAAAAGTTGATCTGTTCATACATTTACTCGAAAAGGCTGTAGTTTCTTTCATCAGATTTGAGGGGTTTGTTACAAGTTTTACTGTCAAGGAAAATTGTTTATTTATCAGGGAAATTGATGTACTCTCCTTAGTTCTGCAGACAGGAAAGAAACCCAAGTTTATTGAATCAAAGGAATGGGATTCTGTATTGTGTACTTGGTTAAAGAATGTGGTTAATTTTTGATTGACTCCATCTGCGGTGCTGTTCCAAAAAAATGGCTGTTTCTTTCATCGAGGAAGTTAATGGTCTATTTAATTGTACTTAAGTCATGAAAAATGACTAAGGATCTTTTCATCAGATGAGATTATGGTCTGTCCATTTTTACTTCATAAAGTAAACTGGCTTTAGATTCTTCATCAAGGGAGCTGTACTTTGAACCTTGTACTCAGTCAAGGACATTTTAATTTCTTTCGTCAAGGAGCTAATGACTGTCCAGTTTTAAAAAGCCAAGCCTATTTAAAATCATTTAATAAGCTACAGGCAATGGACTCTGGGTCTAATGGCCATACAGTAAGAAAACTTATTGGATTCTCCACAATCTTTGTGGATTGTCCTCTATAAACTGGAGTTTGTCCCCTCTTACTTAGTGGCTTCTGTCCACTCTACATTTCCTCTTCCTTCTCTTGCCACTCATTGTGGGTGGTCATCATCAGCTTGCTCTTGATGAGCAGATTTTAGTGGTCCAGTTACCACTAAAAATACTGAACTATCAAGAGTTTGCCGTTGATGAAACATTTTTAGTGGTAGCTTGCTACCGCTAAAAATACCAGTTTTTTTTAGTGGTAGTTTGACTACCACTAAAAAAACAAACAAACCCCATCATTTTTAGTGGTAGCTTGCTACCACTAAAAATACCCATTTTTTTTAGTGGTAGCCAAGCTACCACTAAAAAAAAAACTTATTTTTAGTGGTAGCCTGGCTACCACTAAAAATGTTCATTTTTAGTGGTAGCTTGCTGCCACTAAAAATACCGAAGTACTCAAACAAGAAATCTACTTTTCTTGTTTGGTTCATGGTTTAGGGTTCCATGAGCGAAAACAATTTTTGTTTTTGAACGAGTAACCCTGGTCTGGCCCGTTTGTCGCAGACCTCACCGTGGTGGGCCAGTGAACATGAAATAGTATACCATTTCATGGCCAACATGCGACATTAATATTTACATATTGCATTCCTTGGTACACAAATAACCCGCACGTACTTTGTGTATTGTTCTAGTCACGGTATTCTGCCTTTTTGATCTGCATTCCTTGATGCTGGGTCACTGTTGTTACCCACAATTTACAGTTCATTTTTCAGCCTCTTGGAGGTTTTCAACGCATTTTCAACATGCTTGTAGTTGAACGGTCTTTATCTGGTGCAATACCACTGGTTTTAGTTGTAACTACCCTTGTGGGTTTAGTTTGTAACTGGTTTCTCTGCAAAACGAATAGTGCTTTGGTTGAAATGAATTATTTCACGCTTATCATTGTATGAATTACGAGGCGATAGGCTGGAATCTAACAGTGCAAAGGAATAGAAAGCAGTCAGGTTTGATCAGGGAAGAGGATGATAGGTTGAATTCCTTGAATCGAGTCCTTCATTGGCATAAAGGAACCAGTGTATCGTGTGGTACGTTTGTTCTTGCATTAAATCTGGTATTTCCCTAATGTAAATATAAGTCGGGTGGCAGGTAGGAAAGGTAGAAGTGGTCCTTAGAATTGTTGGAGTTAGAGGGTGAAAGATTCTTTAAACATATGGGCTTGAGCATCCAGCAGGTTTGTGTTAAGACTGAATGGAGACTAGAGAGTTTTAATGGATATGCTGTTGGAGTTCGTAAGATATTTTTTGAAGGGATTCAGGGAAACCAGTTAGCCAGATTTACGGCAGTGCCTGCACTTTGAAAGGGGTGAGGGATGTTGCTGTCAGTAAGTCATTGTCAGCACAATAAATAATTGAGAATGTGTCCTTTGTGATATCCTACCTTAGAGATGGCGGATGAGGTAAATAAGGGGAAATTACCAATATGTTAAATTAAAAAAAATATTTATATTGCTGTTTAATTTTGCTTATCTTGTTTACCATGTTAGTATTTTTAGCAAAGATAATGGTTTGGTTGGGAATTACTTAATCCTTTAAGTAAAGTGCACAGATGCGGGTGAAAGGTTCTTGATCCAAAGAACTGGAACCTACTTCCTTTTCCTTGGATAATCAAATAGCCTGTCATAACCCAGGTGTATGACCCCTACCGGGTTGGTGTGGGGGTCCCTCAAGTATGTAATAATCATGCTAGTAAAACCTGTCTTGTACAGTATTTCATAAGATTATTTCCTTGTAAACTATCCCAGGAGTACTGTTAGCAGACTGCTGGCCAATGCTAAGCATGCTCTTCTGAAATCCAATCATTCATTTTCACTTGTCCAACCTGTTATACAACCTGACGCGCCTTTTGACTCGCCTCACTCTTGCAACTGGTTGCTTGTGGTCACCATGAAACTAACATGCTCTGTTAGTATTAATAAAATCACTCATGACAAAGTTTTCTTTAATAAATATCTTGAACTGTATTCGAAGTTTCTTTACCCTGAACATTTTGGCGACTTAACATTTTAAACTACTGCTAAGTAAGGATAGTTCCATATCGCTTCATTCTCTGGAAAATGTAAATTTTTACCACTTACTATTGTATACTACCCGAACCTTTTCTGGATGAAAAGTGATTTAATCTAATTAATTTCTGTAATTAGTTTTGGGAGGTAATTTTCACTTAACAATTTGTAAATACGTCGTAATGCTTTATGCTCAATCATTTAGAAGTTTTCTGTCAGTTTTCTTTACATACCCAATGATTCGTGAAACTTAAAACATTAACGTGTTCAAGAAAAATTAATTGTTCAGAACTTTGAGTGTTATCCAGTAGACATTCGTGATATAATCTGAGGTTCTTTGCTGTATCCGTAACTAATCAAATTTTTTTATAATGTTTACCAATATTTTGCATTGTTTCTTTTCACTTAAAAATAGTATTAAAGATTTTATAATATATAGATGTTAAAGAGAACGGAGGTAGAGTACTTGTGTAGGGCAAGGCAACAGCTGGACTCTCCCTCGCTCAAGTCTTCCATTCCCCTCAAGGAAGGTTCCTTGATGTTGGTGAGGGGCTCTTGATTTAGGGCCCCTCATGGAAGGTTCCTTGATGTTGGTGAGGGGCTCTTGATTTAGGGAATTGAATCTGCTCCAGTTCCCCGAATTAAGCCTGAATGCCTTCCACATCCCCCCCTGGGCGCTGTATAATCCGGGTTTAGCGCTTCCCCCTTGATTATAATAATCTTGATTTAGGGAATTGGATCTGTGCTCCAGTTCCCCAAATTAAGCCTGAATGCCTTCCACATCCCCCCCCCAGGCGCTGTATAA